GAGATTATAAACAAACAGGAGGAGAAAGAAAAGCTACCACCTCCTGTAGCCTCATTTTTCAGTACAGAATTAGTAATTAGCACTCACCAAATACTCAGTGGTTGGTATAGTTTCGGTGCTGGGAAATGTCCCAAATAACTCTATGTAGCACAAGAGTTCAAACTCAAGCCAGAGAAGCCATTTTGTGAGTCGATTACGTCATTAGAAAGGAAAAGAGCTAAACAAATTGACAGCCCCTTCCTCCACCTCCCACTGAGGGAAGACTTTTTGTCACTTCTGCACTCAGTGAAGATCTTACAGCTCTCCAGAAATGTCCAGATAGCCATACCTTTACCTCCAGAGAGGAAGAGCTGCCTTGAAAGTCTTCCTACTCTTTAACCTCCTCTCTAATATTAGCTGTAAAGAACAGGAGCAAAGCACACTTTACCACAGCTTTCCATGGTAGCTGCGATTCCTTTACAGAAGCAGAGAAGAGGGAACCATCCTCCTTGGGAATACAGGATTTAAGAAATGCTGCATAATAATTGGTGCAATTCAAACAATTCAGTACAGTAAAGGTCAAAGGAAAGGCCTTTAGGCTAAGTAAAAGCTCACTGATACAGAAACAATATGCAATTTTCACTCGACAGTAAGTCTCAGGATAGGCATATTTACAGGAAGACTAAATACACTAAGCAACAAGGATGGAACAAAGAAAATGACAACCCAATGGCTGTTAAAAGAGCATGCTGTTTCTGCTATGGGCAAAGATAATACATCACGTTAGGCCACAGAGCTACTGACAAAAGATATACCAGCAAGTGGATGATTAGATCATGCAATTTCATCTGTTCTAGTTAAAATATATGCATTTCTTCACAACTTTTAGGGAATCTAAAAATTCAGTCTATCATGAGGCATCAGGATCCTTCAGCTGTCATGACCCCTGCTCTGAAATCAATTGAGATTTTGCAAGAAACTACCCTGTACCACCTCAGTGACTTTTTATTACCACAGTACTCTGACAGAAAGCTCTGTCAGAAATCTGGCCAAGTGTTAGGTTTTTCAGTTCTTGTCCAGTGAAGCTTCCGCTATACCATTAGAGATGATAGCTATCTTTTCTCGGCTACATGACAGTGGATGTTAGTAGCCAGATGGAGCTCTCTGTGAAGACCTTGGTTCATTTATTCCAGGCAGGAATCGCGCACCCTCTGCCCACTCATTCCTACTTAGATACAAATGTGTACAACCTCACACAGAGTTTGTAAATCTGGCATATGCTAGATAATCAGAGCAAAATCAAGTTCTACATTAAATCCTGCATTAATAGAAAGTTAAAGATGATTGGTTATGTTTAGAATAAACCTGGATGTAAGTAACGGTTCTTGCAGTGGCATTTAACTAGCAATTGTGCCATGTAGGACCTGTTACTCTTGCTTCTTGTAAAAATTCATTTGCTACAAAAATGTAGAACACTTATATCTCACAAATTCAGCCAGAATACAGACCACCATGGTAATTTTATCTGTATCTATCTGGGAGCACCAGTAAAAAATGTTTTTACCCTGGAACTCTTCTTTACACATGGAATACACTCATCTTTAAATGCTATACTCCCTACCTTACTTAATATATATGATATACACAGCTAATTAAACCGCCTAATTTTGCCACTGCTAATTCTATTCTAGTATATGATTTTAATATTGGTTTGATTGGTTTTATTTCCACACTAAAAAAAAAAGGAAACAAAGAAAGAAAGACTAACAGACTGTGAAGTTTGCAACTCAGTGAAGTTAATGGGCCAGGTGAGTAACCCAGGTCACACCTCACTGAGATAAGCTTAATGGGGGAGTTGCAGCTGGTACTGCTGAACAGGATTTTTTAGCACTAGCACAGTGTTCCTGCAGCACTTTGGTGATATTTGGGCAACACTCTTAACTCTGGCAAATTTATCAGGTTTCACTGAAACAAGCACATTAAGTTTGTCTTCTCAAAAATCTCTTGCCTGAGAACAGCAGCCCCTTTGCCTGTCAAGATTAGCAGCAAGAATATGAATGTTGATGTCAGAAGTTTGAGTAGCTGCTTTGCTTTAGGATCTGTCAAAATATCTTGCTGGATGCCTGCTGAAAAAAAAAAGTGATTTTCAGTCTTCAAACTACTATCACCCAACCAGCTTTTTTCAGAATCTGATATGGGACAAATCCTTCAGTCAACCCCATTTACATGTGAAGTTACCCCTTCAAAGTTTTGATGGAGTCATTTGTAAAGAAAAAGGAACTTATTTTCCTAGGGGTAAGATGTATGCTCCTCAACTATTGTTGAATGGATTTTCTATAACCTCAAGCCTCGAGTCAAGTATATCAATTTTGAGACCAAGGAAAAATTGTATTTAAGTAAAAGCAGATTATTATATGAAAACCAAAGAAAATTGAGTTTTAATATTGAATCTTGTATTTTCAGGAGAATACTGGGTAAAAAAATCTTCACATAAACCACAATTACTCTTTCTTACATAAATAATAAAGTAACTACTTGCAATTTCTATGTACATTAGTTACATTACAAGGATTAGCAGGCTGTGGCATTGTCAGTTTTTCACATGAGTAAATAATTTAATTAGATTCTAGGACTTGATGTTTTCCATATAGGATTGAGGATATTTAATAAGACTTCAATAAAACAATTCTGTGATACTCATTGCAATACTGTAATTGGAAGTAAAAGCATGCGCCTGTCTGGAAACTCAGAGCAGGAAATGTTAGCTCTTAGATGAGTAACTTTGACAGTTTTGAAATTGAGCAAAACAGCGCAAGGAGAAAGGAACAAGAAGAAAGACATTGGCTAAGAGATATGGGGTGAGAAATGCAACTTGGAAAGAATGTCGAGACGACACTGGAGAGATGTTCAAATAAACCAGGGGGGTGGGCAAGGGCCTTCTCATGCCTCTAAGTCAGAGGAACTGTCCTATTATTTCTGAAATGCACAGTGCCGCTCAGCTGATATAAATGTGGGGTGCTCCGAGATAGCCAAGAGCTACATCCAGCTTGCCAGGATAATTGATTAGTCAGTTTATTTGTCTTCATCCACAGAAGCAGGGATCAGCTTGTGGTCAGACGAATAATTCTGGTGGTGACAGCCCGTTCTTGGCTGCCTTTCATTTCTCCCCTCTGACATATTAAACCTGGCCCCCTTCCCATAGTCCTACGATAGAGAAGCAGACGCGAAAGCTGCAGCTAGGGGCAGGCTGTCTCTACCAAAGTAACTCGTCTGGCCTGCTACTAAAAGGGCTCTAAAACAAAGGGGCAGCTAAGACCAGATGCATAAATTTTTTTCTGGGCAGGAGCCTCCCTTCAGTCACTCTTTTTTTCCTCCTAGAAACCCCTCAAACATGACAATGAGCAGGAAGGGATTTACCAGATGGAAAACTGTGCACAGACAATGTGAGCATCAGCTTACAGAGAGTCTTGTAGCCCAGCGCAGCAGGTGGAGCATGCGCTACTGCCGTACAACATGCACAGTTAGACACAGCAAAACCTGCACCAAATCTTCCATTCTTTGATAGGGGAGTCACTTGCGAGTTAAAACAGGCTCAAGTTATTTCTTGGAAATAACATCAGTTCATATATCCAGCATTTCTTTGCTGCTGTTAGGTCATTTTTCAAAACCATGAAATCTATCTCCCCTTGTCCTTTGAATGGTCTCTTCAGAGAAGTTTCAAGGTACAAAATGTATGAAATTATTACACCATAAGCATTGTTGGCTGCCTCTCTAACCATTTTCTCCCATTGGTGCCTAATACTAATATTCCCCAAGTAGCATAATATTTTTTCCAGAACATTATATATGATATGCAGACTGTTGAAGAATTTTTAAATGGTAAGAAATTTTCATAATGGTTACTGAGCAAAAGATTCCTCCAAAGATTCAGATTGACACATTTGGATAGGATTAAATTTATCCAGAGAATTAAATTTGCATCAAATGAACATAAAGAAATACATAGCACAATCTAGGACTACTCTCTGTGGTTTTGCATGACTTGCATATTTACTAAGATGTCCTTCAGTAATTCTTATTTTGTCATTATTATTCAACATCATGAAGAGTCTTGCAGTCTTACAAACTGGAGTTTTAAGTTGATTTTATGGGATCCTAAAACTACAAGAAAAAGACTTCATAGATTTCAGCAGCAATTTAGATAATGCAGGATCATGCTTTATGAATTTAAAATAAAACTGGTGGATGATCCAGATGTATTTTTTCCTACAGTCTCATATTGCAAACAGTTTCTAAGGTCCCCTGTTTTTAAAACATAGGACCACAGATAACTCAGAGCCAAAACAATCACAGGCTGAGGTGGGAGTTTTAAAGAAAAAACACTCATGATAAACTTTTTCTTTTCTTACTCGCATATATGATTAACCCTGATATTAAGACACTCTTCCTTCTAGTCTGTATAGAGGTTTATGGAGATCATTTGCCTACCAAGAGAACACAAGTCAAGATTCTGAATTTTTTAGGCAACCGTTATAGGGATTATCCTCCAATTCAACAGGAATTTCACAGTTTAAAAAAAAAAAAAAAAAAAAAAAGAGTGTACTTTTACTCTAAAATCTGTCAAAGAATAAAAAACCAAGGAAATAAAAGGACTGGAGTTGTCAAGATATACAAATCTATCCAAATTTAGGTAGTTAAGGTCCAATCTCAAAAAATCTGGAGATTTTTCAGTCATCCATTTTATTCCACTAAATTGTAAGAAGAAATGCAAGGTGTGTTTCACAGAAATCTTCTGAAATCCACATGGCTTATCTCACTGATATGTTGCTTTCCCTGTTAAAACTCCTTAGAGCTACTTAGAATAAGGTAAAATTATCTTTTCTGAACTGTTGTGACAAACGTGCTACAGCAGAATATCATCATTGACAACCATGACGTTAATCTGTCTACTTGTCATTAATAGGGTTCTACCAAGTCTCTCCTATCTCCTCTCACGTCTTTTACCCAGAGGTAATGCTCACCTTTTCCCATTCGCGATTGTTGTTCAGTACTATCACCACCAGCCTGGGATGTGCCTGATAACCATCTGCCGTGAAGGACAAATCTTTACCTTCCCAAGTCACATTCATCATAAACCTAGAAGGCAAGGAAAAAAAGTTCATTGAAAAATGAATGAGCTGTCCAGCAGTTAATGAGCAAGCTAGTTCAGTCATCAGAACCACTGATGAAATACATGCACCAAATCCTGTTAAATGCTGTGAAAAGCCTACGTTTGCAGCACGGAGAGTCCGAGCATTTCAAGGCAGTCCATAGCAGAAGACAAAGCAAAATATTGTTTACATATGATTTTTAATGCAGACATCATTTTTAAAGCAGCTTCCACATTATGTATGACCTGTACACTCCATGAATAATCTTTCTGGCACAATGTCACCAGTTTTTCAGGACCATTTTAAACATGTCTATATCAGCTCTGTATGTAACATTATCCTATTGCCTTACTAGAGTAATACTCAGAGGTAAGTGCATCTACTCTGGCTTCACCTGTGTAGCCTCCAAGAGTCCTGTCAGCCCTTCCTGACACTGTAGCTATACACAGCGTCTTTGTGACAACTGGATAAATTCCACTAATGCCTTCAGCCAAAACCAGACATGAAAACTTTGAAGAGGTTGATAATATTTCTGTTCAGTAATTTCAAAAGAAAAAAAAGATACATGTTTTAAACTTTTTTGTATTTAGTTTAATTTTCAATGGTTTTCAAAAGATATATAAACTAATTAGCACTTTGAATAGAAAAAAAAATGAGAGGACTCAGAATAAAATGTACAGGAAGAAGGAGGATTTTTTAAATTTTGTTGAACATGTTGGTTCAATCCCAAATTTCCTGCCTTTAGACTTACCAGTTTGGGCATTGAATCAATAAAACTGTTTATTTACCACAGGCTTTTTGTTCAGCTACAAAGGAGAAGACTTACTCAACTGAAAATTTAGTATGAGTTTATGTCAACAGAAGGAAATTACTCAGTGCTACAACAACATGTTCTTCTCCCAAGATGTGCCACAGTACTGTTGCTTGCTTTCTCAGTTCTCCTGTATTTCCACGCTAACCTGCATGACAGAATACTACTTCTTATAAGCAATCCTGCCATTAGCAATGACTACATCATCTCTACTGAGTCATTGCTCTGACCTGGACTGTGCCATCGAGGGACACTTATGAACTTTGGTGAGTAACACTGCAGGTGGCTCCACGCACACCAGCCACGGGCCAGAAGCACTCAGCAGCCAGACACTGCAGTGGACCTGATCTAGCCTGGGGTAGGGATCTCAGTACTCTACTCATCACCTTAGAGACATCCTTCAACTCTGTTACAGAGTCCTATAGCTTTTCTAGCCATAGATTTGCCCCTGAAGGTCTTAAATTCCTTATTGAGTTTATACCAATTCTAATACAGTCTACCCAGTTTTTCCATTTCCTGATTAGTATGCATAGTTTTTAATTTCTAATTGTTGCTTTCCATTCATCATTGAACCATGTACCCTCTTTTCCAAAGCATTGTCCTTTCGTTGATTCAGAAATGCCGGCATTCTGGCCATCTAACAAACTTGACTTTCCTCAAAAATAATTTTCTCTCAAAATTTTCCACAGATTTATAACATAAATCCATATTTATATTTGCTCCAGTTCCACATAGCTTCAGTGTTTCTCAGTGAGAACAGATTGTTTCCTCCACTCCAGTGTCAGAAAGAGTGATGAGAAATTGCAGTTTTTATTTAAAGCACAAATACAGGGAACTTATACTGCCAAGAGCCTGAACTACCACTACACACAGGTCAAGCTCCCCGGACTGTGATATTGAAAAAATCTATCATTTTATACATTATCTGAAATTCCGTCACCTAAGAAAATCAGGCATGAAAGGGAAGAGAGTAAAAGGCTGGTATTGGCATTGGTGTTCTTTGGTCATGTTGAAAAAAATAAACACTCCAGACTGTCAACATGAGCCTGACAGGGCTATCCCGCGGGTGAGAGGTAAAAATGCAATTCAGAATTTTGGAGATCCCATGGCACTTCCTGAAGATAATGAGCCCTCCACCCCATATCCATGGACTGAAGTTAATTGCATTGAACTGCATTGTTAATTGCATTGCACTGACTTCTCAGTATATTTCATTGAAAGAAATTCAGTCCAATCTTTCACCAAGGTGCTCTCCTTCTGGGACTCAACTCAATACCAATATCATTCCATCCTGCAGACAGATGTGTTTTGAAGGGTGTTAAAGTTACTTTAAGTATTCTTCATACATTGCTCTGTAATGTTTTACCTACAAGAAACTGATACTGGTTTACATGTTTGTTTGGGTTTTTGTAGTAGTAGTAGTACCATGGTCTCCTGGTGAATCTGACATAAACAAAATTCTTCAGCTCCACATTCAAAGGAGAAGGCTTTATATTGACATAGCTGCCTGAAAATCCCAATAGCAGAAGCACACTAAATAAAACTATATAGACCCAGAAGAAATAACGGCATTGTATCGTAACAGTTAATAATTAAATGTGCACTGCGCTGAACAGCCATATTAACATCATTCAGAACCAGTTTGACGGCAATTTGTAAATTCACCCATCATAATAACTCATATTTTGTGACAGACTTGCGGCGTGAAAATTTTCCCCTTGGCAGAACTTTGCTTTTCAGTTGAACTAATTTCCCATATATTACATTTTTCATCCAGCTCTGAAAGAGCTTGCTTAGGAATAAAAAGCTTGTTTGCCACCTTGAGAGGAAGTGGCAAACCACCAAACAGAATTTGCTTGTGCATACATGTAAGAAACCAGCATAACGTTCGCCCACTGCTGACAATCAAATGCATTGTGACCCAAAGAATAAAATGCCCAGGAAGTCACCGCAAGGGGAAAACAAGGACATACTGTTTGCACTGCTTGTATTCGTACTTCTGCACTCTCCCTCACAGGTTCCCTCCCAATCCATACACGTGAAATAACACCCCCCCCCAATGAACACATTGTCTTACGGGGCCAGGCAGAAATCTCCTCATTTCAGTAAAACTGACAGCCAAGCATTTTGTCTCCTCCTAAGGGCTGGACCACAAACATGCACGCTGTATTACGTCAGGCTTTTGTGTCCAGTTGGGTTTTTAATTACGTAGCCATTGGTGATTGGGCTTGAGTTGAACCCTTCTTTTATGTAGTTTGGTAGGATCCAGATTTCAAACACCTCTCATCATGTTTTGGGATTAATATGCAGATGCCCTAGCTTAGAAGGTAGTCAAGGGCCATCACAAGATGCAGTGCTGTAGCTGCACTGGTGCTCAAGTGCTCCAAAAAGAAAGATGAACCACAAATCTAAACTGAACTCAGCCTATATTTTTAAACTGTGTGAATTTACCAGCCATTTAGTAGTGAAACACATTTTGCAAATTAAAAAAAAAATCCCTAATCTGTAAAAGTCTCTTAAAATTGTATTGTCTGAGTCATATACAAAGGTATCAGTGAGTGACACAGTCTGAGCTACCCCAGTTTCTCAAACGGCAGCAATAAAAAAGAGATTCTGGTTTTCCCAAGCACTCTCTTCTATACAAATTTCATCAGCTGCCTGTGTTCTTCAGAAACCAATGCCTACAATCTACATTCCCATTTGAATTGTCATTTTTCTTCCACAAAAGACAGGAGTCCTGCTCTGCTTTTACTGGCCAAGATCCTAAACTGCTTGTCTCTACAAAAAACAACCGTGTGCTTTTCTGTTCCTGGTTAGAAAGAGTGAGGAAAAGAAAGTACTTATATTATACGTTGTTCTGATAGAGCTTTAAGTTTGCCCAAAATTAATTCTGTGCAAGAAGTCTTTGGCTTCTGAATTGATCAAAATATATTTCTGAAGTAGTTTTAGAATTGCATATTCTTGTTCTTAACTAAATGATTGATTATTTGAGCTTGTTACTTTAAGGGGGCAATTCAGCACATACCTTGGATTAGTAGTTAATCTACTTTTATACCTCATTAATGCTATAACCTTTGCAAAGACATGATAGCAGGAGGCCTTGTGATGGTATTATGACACTGAAGTCTTAATTAACTTTTGCAAACTGAAGTTTGTGAGTAAGACTCCCCAGATGATACATGTATGAAAAGTGGGATTTTGGGGGCAGAAAATCCTCACTATTCTCACACTGAATCCAAAACAGATTTTTATCATGCAAAAAAACAAGCCTGTACTATATATTTCAAAACACTTTTAAACATTTATACAATTCTTTTTTGCTTGTCACCTTCCCCAACAAAACTGAAAAGGGAAGTGTTGAAACACCACAGCAGAACACTGTTCCCGTTGTATTTACAGCAAGCCTTTGAAGAACCAAGGTTACAAACTGCTCTCAAGGTTTCCAACTTAATTTTTATAGACTCAAAAAGATCAAGCAATTCAGATAAAGCTTCAGATTAATACCAAAAGTGTGCAATATTTATCCATATTAAAATTCTGACTCTATCCGGAAAGACAGAACATATTTGAATAAGGTGGGTTTTATAAGGTTTCCTATAAATATTATACCACAACATCATTGACTCTAATTTCCATTAACAAATGGGGAAGACTTTGCCAAAAGGATCAGACCTCAATTTTTGGAAGAGCTCAATTTTTAGAAGACCATTTGCTAGGGTACAATACTGCTGAAACAGAAGCACCTTTCTGGTCAGCCTCCTCACAGAAGACATGGACTTCTTTGCCCATAAGGTGTTGTGTTAGGATTTCCTATACTGTGTGAAAACAGTTGAAACCCTAGCAAAGCCGCGACCACTCCTGGAGCAGAATCTTTGAGACTTTCTTCTTCTATGTTATACAACAGCAAAGATGTTTGCAAGCTATGGGATTTCTTTTGATGTTTACCATATATATGTATATATGTATATGCAACGTACACAAATGTTCCCCTAATAGATGCAAGCATTTGAGAGCAAAAGCAAGAAGGTTTACTGGATTCTGTGGTCGGCATTTTTTTAAGGGAAAAAAAAAAAACAACCCTATGTAAATTATAAAGATCACTTTGTCTCAGAGAAAGATCAATCCTAGCCCTGGCTTCATAAGGCTGGTTTATAATCAGTGTGAAATCCACCTAG